GGACTCTAATTACAGATGTGAATTACTACACGTAGGAGAAATTCTGCCACAAAAACCATATATACTTATCGATCGGAGATGCAAACGAGGATTAAAACCCATCAATTCTTAGACGGACATTTCCAAGACACATTTCTTAATATACCCAATAAATTAATATAAATGCTTTTCATATTAAAAAACATAAAATTGTTAGGTTTGGCTCGGCTAGTGGAAGAATGAAGTAGCTACATACCAACTATGATTTAATCATCCTCTTACACAAATAAAATTGTTCTGGCCAATGGGGCGTCTAGGGTTCTTTTCATAGGTCAAACCTTCAAAGCCAGAGCATTCAAGAGTATAATCTGTCTTCTTAACTCTAGGGTTTTAGGTCTTATACTTTCTTGTTTTTGGGCCTTATGGGCCCCGGGAGCGCGGAGATTTTCATGATCGTTTTCATTTGAAAGATATTTGGTAATTAAAGGTAGGATTTTGTCCTTGATTTCGAATCAGCATCTATGTGGGAAGGTTGGATCGGATTCTGACCGAGATCACCCATGTAGAGGGGTCAGATCGGATTCTGACCGAGTGAATCCATGTAGAGAGGTCAGATCGGATTCTGATTGAATGGACCCATATAGAGGATACCGATCGGATTCTAACCGAGTAGACTCATATAGAGGGATTAGATCAGATTCTAATCGAGACGGTACAAAAATAAAATTCAATTTATGTTTTTTACAATAATATATTTTTTTTATAAAAGAAACAACTAATTTTATGAGAAATTATTCATATATAGTTTTTTAATTAAATTTTAATCTTGCTAACCAATACTTTTTTATTTTTTTTCATCAACAAGAAAAATTATAAAATCATCAACTCCTATTTAACTCCTACCACAAAACGTATTATAATGATTTCTAGAGGTTCTTGTTCTTGCTGACTAATATTATAAAAATACCACAAAATCACAGTTGGAACACATTACAAATTAGTGGGTTACATTGGTATGATTTTTTCGTAAAAGATTCTTACTATAAATTTCATGATCCGTGTCTTAATGGCACTTAATAGAATTTTCCTTAAGAAAAAAGAAAGTATCCTTTCCACACTTGAGCTTATATTGCAATGATTCTATTAGAACACAATTTTAATTCAGGTTGCAGCATCAAAGTGAATAGACAGGAATAGCAAGAGCGTGTATAGTTTGTTAACGCTCTATATGATATATACACAAATGTTGTTTCATTTCTTCATGCTTCACCCATATTGCACTATCCAATTCTACGGAATATAGAGTGTGGTGAGAAGAGCATCAACATATTCTTATGCTTTTAATAATGCTAGCCGCCCCAAGAAGGGACACTTGAGCCTTCGTTGAAAGAACATGTTCTTTCCAAATAATGGTTCCTTTAGAACCATGTCGCTGCTCTTAATAGCAATCGTTTAGATTTTATACTAGGTTTCTTTGGCTCAAAATTTTACACAAGGCAAATTTTCCATAAGAATCACATCTCCATAAACTGTCATGTAAAAATCTTGGCCAATGTATGACTGGGCCTTCAGTGGGCTATGATATTATGCTGACCGCTCAGTTCAGTTAGACGATTTTTGGGCCCAAAGTTAGCCCGTGTAAAACGCGCCCAGAATTTGTAAGGTTGTTCATTTTACAATCAGGCCTAAGCTTTTCTATGGATGACCCAGCGAAAATAACAACACTTTTTCTTCTATTGGGTCATGAAGAAAGCAGTATAGTTTGTTTTGGGTCATTAGAAAGGTGCATAGACTGCATAGTGAAGCTTATTAATGAGGTAGCCCAACTAAAATAGAATTGTTGAAATTGCTATTTGAACTCACCACGACGGGTTGGGCCCACACCTTGCACCACTACGACGTTACCTAGCACGAAACAATTTTGACAGATGATAAACACACCTCCACTCTCGTATAAACACACCCCTTTTTTTAAAAAAAATATATAAAATGTCTAAATTACCCTTTTAAAAAAAATGAAATTCCTACTTTTACAGTCATTAGCATTCCGGAAAGTACTTTCCGGAATAGTAAAATTATTGTTCATATAATTCTGGAAAGAACTTTCCGTAATAGTAACTTTAATATTATGGAAAGTACTTTCCGGAATTATGTAACAAAACATTTCCGGAAAATACTTTCCGGAATAAGAATTTAATATTATGGAAAGTATTTTCCGGAACATTTTTATATAATTATGGAAAGAACTTTTCGTAACAGTAAGAAGAAGAAGAAGAGGAGTGCCAGAAAGAGAAAGAAGAGGGGTGTGCGAGGTGCAGAAAAAAAAGAAGAAGAGGAGAGTGCCAGAAAGATAAAGAAGAGGGGTGCGCAATGTTAGCAGGTGGTCTTGTAAGAGAAAGACTCTTATTTTTGTCGAGATTTTTTTGGTGTTCAGTGTACCGGGACAATACAATAATTTCAAGGACCCGTCTTTCTTCAACACGAAGTTAGTTGATCGAGAAAGCAAGGACCCATATAGAGCTTAGCCATGTGTAGATCGTTCTATGGAAAGACACACTAGTACAAAAATGACTTTAAAAACCGGAGTTTTAAACCCAGTCATAAGGTAGCCATTTTAAAAGTGACGCGGTGGCTTGTACTGCAACAGAACGGCCCCAGAACGGCCTGTTCTGCAAGCAGAACGGCCTGTACTGCTTGCAGAATGGGGCGTGCTGCAAGCAGAACGGGGCGTTCTGCAATCAGAACGGGCCGTTCTTCTCGCAGAACGGCCCGTTCTTCTTGCAGAACGGCCTGTTCTGGTGCTGTTCTGGTGCGGGGCAGGGGGTGCGGGGAAGGGAGGTGTAAATTTAGAAATTTTTTTGTTAAAAGGGTAATTTAGACATTTTATATATTTTTTTTAAAAAAGGGAGTGTATTTATGTGAGAGTAAAAGTGTGTTTATTATCTGCCAACAATTTTATTCTTATTACTTGTTAGTATTTTAAAATAAGCGTCAGGCCCAGAAACATAGGAGAAGGTAAAATGATCAACCATCATGGTACGGGATAGAAAAATGTGGTAGAAGTTTGAACTCTAAGGCCGGAAGTATAGAGCAATACATGTCGGGAAAAATCATTCCCTTAAATGAATATTAGTAATTTATTTTATAAAAAAAATGGTAGATAGGGGATGAGACTACATAAATATAATAATTTAAATAATTAAAATGATGTCCTAGATTCATTAAAAAAATAAAAAAAAGGCGAAAAGTCAAAATGAGTAGGGTTGTTGAAAATAAAGGTAAGTTAATCTAATTTGACTAACTTTTTGTAGATCCAAAAACTATGTAATTTAGTTTAACCTACTACTTGTTGGTATGTTAGGTGAAGTCGACTTTCAAGTTTGTTCATCTAATTTTAAAAAAATAATGAATACAAGAAAATATAGACCAATAAAAATACGTTTACAAAAATTAAAAATACTAAATTCATAACAAACTAAAAAATGTAAATATTTTTTATTTTAATACATTCTATAAAAAAAATAAAAATAAAAAATAAGACTAAAACCTAATATCAATCCAGTCCAATGGGTACAACGGTTATAAACTGCGGGAGGCTTTTTATTTTGGGTACAAAGGAGTTTAGATTGAATTTGATCAAATGAATTAGATTGCCAATTAAAAAAAATATAAATTATTGAATAAATAATTTTTCTCTTCACATTTACTCTAAAATCTTATCCTTGATCAACACCAAAAAAAAAAATCTTATCCTTGAATATAATTATTATCGACATAATGCAGTAATCAAGAAATATTCTCTTATACCATTAATTTCGGCCAAACAAGAAAAAATATCAATTATTTAAAATCATGATTTCTAATATTTTAATTTATATGAAAAATTGAGATAAAAACTATTATGAAAAAGTATTTTATAAAATTAACTTTTTAAAATAGATTCCAAATATGAGAAACTATAATCATTTTAGGAAACTAAATACTTCTCCCCGCCCCTTTTAAAGTAATATATCCGTACAATATTTTCTTACAACACTTTATATATATAGCATTTTTTCTCTATATTGAAAAGCACACATAGGCATGCCACTGGCCATGTAGTGTTTATTTTACTTTATAGTTATCACCCTAGAAATAATAACTAAAAATATAGAGTTGTTATCGTGAGTTAGTTTGCATTATAAGCATTAATATTTTTATTGCAGTAATTGAGGGGTTACACGGGTTATTGTTATTGTGTAAATTTAGTGCGTTAATAAAATGTGATATAATGGTTAAAGATTACTCTAATATAATTAGAGTACCGATACATGTAGTGAAAACGAGAAGAGAATAAAATCTCATTAGTTTTTTATAGTCTTCTTTTAAAATTATTTTCTAACAATTACACATTTTAATACAAGTTCACTCGAATCCATTTTTCTGTACTATGCAGGATCATTGAATCCAACTACGTTCAGTCTTCTTAAGGTTAAAACTTAAAACAAACACACCTGTAGTCATCACAGATGCCTTTATTCAACAATATTTGTTGATGCATCCTTTTTACATACTGGTAATTAAGTGCAAAGTAAAACCCCTGGACCGGCTTAAGTTACCCAAGACACGACTTACATTATTTAAAAAAAATGGTAAATGTATTAAACTTAAAATTGAATTATTTGAGCAATATTTAAGTTTAATTTTTAATAAAAATAATTTTTGATTAAATTTTATTTATCTTCCAATCGAGTTAGATTAATTTAAAGTTAAGTTATAAAACATTAATATGAAATTAAAAAAAATGTGATAATGTATATGTATAGCGTGATATTTGTTTTTCATTTTTATATTTTCTGAATTATTTTTTGTGGATCTTGACTAATCTTATAAATTATATCACTATTATATTTTAATTACACATAAAAACTACCCACTAATTACGTGTAAAATATAATTTGAAAGAAATTGCATAGCGTCGTTTAATATTTAATTTGAAACCTCTTTCTTTTCTTTTTATTAAACACAATAAGACAATGAACTGAAGACATGAATCCTCCAAGGTAATTGGATCGTCAAACACTAGCATGTGCAAAATGTGTCTGTCTCAGCGGGTTGGTACCTACTGGCTGGCTACAACAGCAGCAGTTGCACTATGATCTTGGCATTTTTGCCAACGTAAATCACCAACCCATTTTGAGCTGAATTCCAAATTTACATTAAACGTGTTTTCACTCCCATGAATTTCTAATACTAAACCAAACACACCATAAGAAACAAATCGAAAGATGATGCATTTCATGCATGTGACGCATTATTGAATGAATTCTAAATAAGGAGAGGAGCGACGACGTCGACCTTTAGCCGTGGAGCCGTCGTCATACACAACACATCTAGTGAAATTTGATTACTAGAGTTTGACACCACTCCCACATCGTACCCCTCCAAACACATTGAAAAAGAAAGATTACATAAAAGGACTCAAAACAAAAGACCATAAGATTAGAGATTCTTCCCTAGCATGCATGTTCCAATTAGCCTTAATTCTTAATTACCAACATTCGAACAAGTTAACATCGACACGAAGCCTGAAATAAACTTCTCCCTCAAATGCATCCGTAGAGAGAGTGGCGACACCCCTGGTCATGAAGAAGTCACCAGTCCCTCCAATGACCGAAATGTCCCTAGTCTTGTTCATCAAAGGGTCAGCACCAGCGAAGTTAATGCTACCCTTGTGGTGGGTAGAGTTGAAGACAAAGGAGAAACCAAGCCACGCAGTGAAAATTTCCTTCTTGTCGTAAATATAAAACCCTTGGGCGCGTCCAACGGGTGGTGAGTGCAAATTGTTGTCCAAAGTGATAGGGTCATCGAACACAACCACGTCACCAAAGTGGTTCTGCCCCGCGAGTATGGTCCTGTTTCCCCACGCGGGGGTTCCCACAATGGCCGAAGTCGCGTTCTTAGCGTTGTAACCATTGTAGATTATGTCGTGGAAATAAAACACCAACCTCTTGCATGGTTCGCGAACCCTTTTTTTGTTCCTCAACTGGTGCTTCTGCTTCGGAGAAGCATCGCTATATGAACAACTGATCACAAGCATCAACAAGAAAACCACCCTCGCGAGTTCCATTATTCGTTACACAACTCAACGTGGAATGCAAATATTGGTTCACCCAATTCAAATTTATAAGCACGGATAAAGCAAATTTTCCAATTAATTAAATATATTCGTGTAAGACTTTTACGTTATTTTTATTTTATTTTTTGTTATTTGAAGCAATGTAGAAGGTTACCAATACCAACTAATTATTCTAATGCTTTTAGTTGACTACATGGCACGGCTTGCTTCTTTTATTGATAAAAATGTGAGTGCGAGGCTTCTGTAAAGAACATTATCTTTGCTGGCATTTTCTCTTTTGTAGCTAGGCTTGACCTTAAAGGTACAGTTATGGTCGGGTAAAAGGAATTGTATACTCAGGAAAAAGAGCTTGTTTTGGTTTGCTTTGTGTCTACGACTTGCGAAATCATTGGAATTTGGAAGCACCGGACAACAGGGACCGACTCTATAAACGAATAAACGTGTTTTTGGTGCAACCACAATTGGAGCAGTTGCCTGTTTGGTGTTGCGTCTCAGCACCACCATGCAATTGCAAACATCTCTTCACCAACAAAACCCAACAAATTAAGCTGCTTCTTTATGCACATGATCAAGAGTTTGATTTTCTAACGGTGAGTACATGCAGAAAAAAAATTATTAAAAGAATTTTTTTTTAGTGATTTTTACGCTTCAAAAAGAATTAGCCTCAAAAGGATATATTTAATAAAAAAACATATTTCATCTCCTAGACTAAATCAATGTTTTTCTAATTTTAATATCTAAAGAAAAAGCTTGTCCTATTATGTAATGAATGAGAAATTCTTAAGAATTATTTGATATTTAAGATAAGATATAATATCGTTAAGACAAGAATAGAATATGATAAAAGTAAGAAGTTTTAATTTCACTACAAGAAAATTGTGATACACACCTTATAATGACATAATATATATCATTAAAAATTACTTTTATTTACACAAGAAATATAATATATATATGTTGATATATTAATTGTTAAAAATGTGGGCATAAATTATAGTGATATACAAAATATGTTGTTAAATCTTATTCAAAATCAACGTTAAAATTATGTATCAAATAAATATATATGTATATATATTGTATTTATAGTAACACTTTTTGTATGTTATATATTATATGTATCATTTCTTATAATGTCATTTTTAATGTTTTGTGCATATTACGATAATTAACCACATAATATTATTATATTATATACTCCTTTTGGTCTTTTATACAAGAAACATACAACTAATTTATCAAAATCAATAAAAGTAGTTAAGACTTAAAATAGCTAATTTTCATTAATAATGTCAAAGAATTAAATTTTATTTCAAAAGCACCCTTTCAATTGATCGGTTTAAATAGTAGTTGCATTCACTTTCATTAATGATACAATAGAATTAAATTTCAATCCAAAAATACTCTTTGAATTGATTGGTTTAAATAATGACATCATTAAATCATACTACACCTAATTAAAGAGAGAACTTTTTTTTACAATGAGTGTAACTTGTATTATTAATAAATCAATAAATATATCCACTTGTATAAAAGAAAATTATCAATTAATGCATATTAAAGTAGATGATTGTTTCTTATAATTAGGACAAAAAAGTGTATTCAATGGATTTTTATATATACAAGAGGGAGTATTTATTAAGATATTTTAATAAATCGCACAATTATTGTTTCAATTTGGATTTAATATAATTTATTTAAAGTTGTATCGATATCATTTAATTATTCTCTCGAGTGTGTGTGAGAGGAGGGGGTCGGGTCATAAACTGTTGAGACCATAATGTCAAATTCAATAACACCTTCAATAATTTTTTATAAAATACAAATTTAACTGATTCAATTGTCACATTTTATGAAAAAATATTGAATGTGTCATTTCACTTCATTGATTTGACATTATGATGTAAATAGATATTGAATATATATACAAAAAAAGGGATCCATTTACTCAAAAAGTAAATCTACTTAAACTTATTTCTCTTTATAACTTATGTTTTACAATAAATTTTAATGATTCAATCGTTAAATTAAAAGATCTTAATGTATAGGTCAATTATGCAAAGTTTTAAAAAATTTTAAAGTTATTTGATATTTTATTTCATTAATTCAAATTAATTTATAAAATATTTTTATGATTATCCATCAATTTAAATTGATGAAATAAAGTATCAAATAGTTTTCAAATTTTTAAAAAAATTGTAAACTTGATTTATACATTAAGAACTTTTGATTCAATGGTTGAATTGTTAAAATATCTTGTAGAACATGAGTTATTAGATGAAGTACGTCTAAGTAAACTTACTATTAAAATAACTGAATCTCTTCTCTTCTTTCTTTCTCTCTCTCTCTCTCTCTCTTATATATATATATATATATATATACTTATATATTAAATAAGAATAATTAGTTTGCGCAATAGTGTTTTCATAAATTTCTCTTTAATAAGAATGTTTTTAAGAGTTTTTTTTTTTAAAAGATAAGATTTTTAGTTTTTTTTTTAACTTCATGTCCATTTGAATTTGTATTTATCATACAATGATAATAATAAAAATGATAATAATAATAATTTTAAAATAATTCAACTCCTTCATATGAAATACAAATGATTATCTTATGTGAGAGTATTTTTGAAGAATTTTTCTTCTTTTTAAAGATTTTGTTAATTTCATATCTAATTTGTTTTAATTTATTATAATTATTTATGAATTAAATATTTTTATAATTATCTGTCAATTTGCATTAACGAAACAAAATATCAAATAATTTTCATTTTTTTTAAATTAAAAGACTTTATTTATGTATTAAAAACTTTAAATTCAACAGTTAGATCGTTGAAATTTGATGTAAAACATGAGTTATTGAATGTAATAAACATATCTCTTCTTTTATATATATATATATATATATATATATATATATAT